TTGTAGGATTACAGCAAAGCCTGAGATTGAATTCCTCACCTGAGTCACTTCCTTATTGACTGAATCCAAGCAGACGCCCCTCTAATTTAGCAGAGTATTTTTATTAAAGCTAGGCATACAAACATCAATTATCTAAGCTGCATCTAATTTCCTCCACCATTTATTTTCCTTCGTTGGTTGCCAAAGGATTAGAAGACATGATTAGAATTCAGCAGGAAAATAAAAACAACAACAAAAGAGAAAAACCGTTCCACAAAAACAGATGCTTAAACAAGAGCCACAGCGTTCAGAATTACAATAATGAGTTTAAAACTGCAACAACAAAAAAACCCAGCCTTTGTCTCGAGTGATGTAAACATGCCTGCCTGGCTTTTATCAGCTCACGCCCTCTGCAGCGGCTGACTTGGCATGCCAGATGGGCACGGCACACAGGCGTGGAGTCGCCGCGCCTCCCCCTGGGCTGGGGTGTGTTGAGAACGTAAGGTGTCCTTCACCCTCCACAGTGACGTGGCAGACCGCTGGCCCCTCGGATGTCCTTGTTTGTCCTCGGCCAATTCCAAGGAGGTGTAGCAAAGGCCTCATTTTAGAGGAAGAGACTGGAGTCAGGATGGACATGTTTATGTAACTGTCCTCCTCGCAGCCTGGATGCCAGTGTCCTCCAAGGCAGCATAGAAGGACAGGTATGCCCTCGAGGAAAGGCCCCACGTCACCTCTGGGTCAGGGTCACCAGGTGGCCTGTGGCCAGGCCTGACCCACTCCGTGTTTGTGTGAATAAAGTTTTATTGGAACACAGTTGTGCTCCTTCATTTACATATTGTCTACAACTGCTTCCAGCTGAAGTGAGAGGTTGTGGACTGTGGGCGGATCTGCTCCTGGGCGCCCGAAGGATTGACTGGCCATCCCTTAACCAGTCTACCTGATGTGCTTGCCTGGCCACCCCAGGCTGCCCGTGTGAGGTCTGCTCGTGAAACAGATGTTGGTGTGCACTGTGAGGGCTGAGCGGCTGGCGTCCCATAAAGTCGAACAGTGGAGCTTATCTTGTCAGCCTGCCCACCGTTTCTACCCCTCCCATGCACTCACTGCCCCAGAGGCCTGGCCTGGCCTGGGGACAGTCTCCTTCCTTTCTCTCCCTTCCCAAGCCCTGACCATCTGCCCCGCTCTTGCCTGTCCTCGGCTCCTACCTGTGCCTTCCACAGTCTCCAGGCCTCCTCCCCTCCCTCATCTGTCTGGCCCCTCCCCAACGGCCCTCAGTCCACATGAACAGGACTGATGGCCCCCGGGTGCACGGGTCCTGTGTTCCTGCGGTGCCTAGCGCTTCACGGCCCTGAGGACTGTGGCCACAGTTGCAGCCTCAGACAGGTGTAGGACACCTCGTATGATCTCAAAGCCTCCCGGGCAGCTGCCACTCTGTGGTGAATGAACCCCGGTGCAGAGTCGGCACGAAGACTGCAAGGAATTCGTGACTCGCGTTTCACTGAGTGGTCAGCAGCAGCAGCACCCATGAAGGGCCGCGGGGTAACGTGGCGGAGGAGGAGCTGCAGCGTGGGCCTGAGGCTTGGTTTGGTTCTAACTCCTGAGCTGCGGCTGCAGTGTGTGGTGGCAGGCAGCTGCTCACCCCCCAGGACCCTGGCCGAGCACAGCACTGACGCGGCACTCTCGGTTTGCTGGCTGAGGACGTTTGATGGCAGTCAGGCCACAGCCCCTGTGGTGCTCAGTAGCCCCGGTTTCCTTATCTGACACCCAGCTCAGGTGAGGCTGACGTGTGTTCCCATGTACATGGTGCAGGAAGACTGCCCGCCCCTGCCCAGCGCTTGGTCAAGGTGGCCTTCCCCTCATACTTCTTGCTATGTCAACTCCTACAGATTACGGGCATTACCCAGAATGCTGCACACTCAGACAAAAGTTTTTAAATGTAAAGAAGCCACGGTCCCCCAGAACCCATCCCGACTCAGAGTGCACATGGGTGTGATGCCCCTGCTCTGCGGACCTCACCCGGGGTCCACTTCCTGGAGGAGCAGCCCTGTCCTAGGGCAAGCTGTGTGTACAAATCCACCTGAGGGGGTCCCCAGCGCCCATCAGATACAGAATGGGTCTGTGCTCCAACAGAAGGGCCTCAGGACTGTGGGGTCCCTGATTTAGGTGGGGCTCAAAGGAGCCTGGTAAACAAAGGCTGTGGATTTTTGTCTTTGAAATTCATTGTTTTATTTGTGACTACGATATATGTAACCAGGTGTGTTCTGCAAAGCCAGACACACAGACTCTCCAAAACCTGCTTTGACTGGCCACCTGCACAGGCTGGACTTGGAGGCAGCTGGGACCTGGGCAGGCCTTATGTCTGACACCCTAGCAGCCTCACTGGATGATCTTTGCTTTGTGAAACAGTAAATAGCAGCCCTCCTAATCCTCGCGGGCCCAGGAGGGAAATGCAGGAAATCTCCTGCTCTGAAGGACTTTGGGATCTGCTGGGAACGTCCAGTGCTCACAGAGACCTGGCTGAGTCTTCTGTTTGACACTTGCTTTGCCAGGAAACACAGGAGCACTGGACATGGCTCTTGATGTCACCGAGCAGCAGTTAACGGCTGTGAGATGAAGGGGCACGGAGGTACACACTGAAACTCGGACGTGTTTTGCAAACGCTCCGTGATAATGATGATGTCACGAGGCTTTTCACTTTTAAACTGTCTTAATTTTATTCTCAGTTTGAGACTAGAGATTATTGTCATTAATTATAGAAACTGTCCCAGAGTGCAGTCTTAAATCAGATTTCCATTAAAGCTTGTGACTACAGCAATTCACTTTACAGAGGGGGAGATGGCAGCCCTCCTCCTCGTGGTGGGCACTCGTGTCCCACAGCCCTGCCGCCCTGGGCTCTCCAGCCCTGCAGCCATGTCCTGCTGCTCTTGTGAGTGGCAGCTGCTCTGGGGTCCTGGTCAGGCCTCTCTGCTCCTCCCTCTCCCTCCTCCCTCCTCCCTCCTCCCTCCTCCCCCTCTCCCTCCTCCACCCTCTCCCTCCTCCACCCTCTCTGATCCTCTCTCCTGCTCCTCCCTCTCCTTCCTATATCCTCTCTGCTCCTCCCTCCTGTCCCTCCCTCCCTCCCCCTCTCTCCCTCCCACTTCTCTCCACCCTCTCCCTCTTTGCATCCTTTCCTCTCTCCCTCCCTCCCCCCCTCCCTCCCCCGGCCCCCTCCCCTCCCTTGCCCCTCTCAGAAGCCCTTTCTCACTCTTGGCTCAGACCCTCTCTCCTCTGTCCACTCAGGCCCCTTCCTCTGGAAGCTGCTGTCAGCACTCACCTTTGCTCGGCCCTGGGGATGGAAGGAGCTACTGGTGCTCCCGGGCCCACCCTGCCTGGCCTGCACCCCAGGGCACTGTCAGCTGGGTGGCTCCACAGTGAGCCAGGCCACCACAGAGGCGCAAGTCCCTGGGTGCTTCCAGCAGGGCGTGCGTCCACACGGAGTGGAGAGCCTGTGCTTTCAGTCATTGTCTTGTCTAACACCAGGAGTCGCTGCCTGGGGGAGACCCCGGAGCTGGCGGCCACTGAGGCCCATCCAGGGCCAGCACCCACAATGGGGTCCCAGGTCACGGTGTCTTCTGCTCATCCCGCTCTGAGACTCACATGTGTTCTCCGTGGCCCAAGAGCTGCGGGCCAGGTTGGCTTGGCCCCTGGAGGCCACTGACTGACCCAGGTGACATCTGCCCTGTCTGGGGTCCCACTGCTCCTGGGAGTGTGCTTCCCCAGCTCTGGCAGGCTCTGCCCCCACAGCTGTTTGGAAACTGCCCTGGCGTCCCTGGAGAGCCAGCGCTGCCTGCCGCTGGCCCGCAGGGTGGCACAGAGGTTTCCTTCTGGGCATGCCCGGTCCTGATGGGTGGGGAGTGGTGCCCATCTGTGGTGCTCCCAGGAGGCTGCCTTTCCCTTGAGGCCTGTGGGCCTGTGCCCTGTGCTGGCAGAGCACAGCCTGGCAGCAGTGTCCTGGGGAGGCCACTTGACCGCTCGCATCGCCACTCTGGAGGAAGTTGGTGCATGAACATCCTTCAGGGGCACTTAAAGCCACATGCTCAGCATGTCACATGTGACATCATGCAGACCTCCCAGCAGACAAGCGGACCAGGAGCCACCAGGGGTCTCAACAGACCCGTGGACCAGGAGCTGCTGTCCACCCTGAGGGCGGGAGGCCATGTTCTAGAGGTGGAGCAGGTCCTGCAGCCACCAGGGGTCTCAACAGACCCGTGGACCAGGAGCTGCTGTCCACCCTGTGGGCGGGAGGCCATGTTCTAGAGGTGGACAGCTCTGCAGCCACCAGGGGGCCCCAGCAGGCAGCCTGCAGAGCTGGTTCTGTGCTCACACTCGGCCTGAAGCCTATAACCTTGAGGGCCTCCAGCCCTGGTGGATGACAGGGACCCTCCCTTCCCACACTGAACAGACAGGGCCCAGGGAGGATCAGGACAAAACTGGGGGCTCTGATTCAGCACTCTGGTCAGGAGCTGCAGTTCTGGGAGGTGACCTTCCCCATGTGCAGTGTGTGGACTAGCACGGTCCATGGTGAGCCACAGCGCCCTTCTGGGTATCCGCCGCTGGCCTCGCAGGGCTTAGCGTGCACTGATGCCAGGCTGGAGGGGTAGCTGCTCTCTGTGGGTGTTACCATATAATCCAGGTGAGGAATGCCCCTCATTAGTCCTTAGTCATTAGGATTGTCGGATGCCTGCTGACCAAGTCCAGACAAGTGCATTTCCTCAGGCGACTAGTCTTCATCTGTGAAATGTGCTCAGGCAGGTTTGCCTGGTGGGGCTGGACACTCGGTCTGTGGCTGGACTTTCCTGATTTTTAAGGTGGCACCTGTTATCTGCTGCTGTTTAGTAGTTATCCCTAACTCAGCCTTAGCATACCCGGCCCTTTATTGAACTGTGCCCTGTGCAAAGCCAAGAGGCCCCAGCCTGCCTCACCTGGGCCGCTGCTGCTGGGCTGTGGACCACCCTATTGATGGCACCTCCTGTCTTTGACTCCAGGTGGAAGCCATCCTGGTCAACATCTTCGGGGGCATCGTCAACTGCGCCATCATTGCCAATGGCATCACCAAGGCCTGTCGGGAGCTGGAGCTCAAGGTGCCCCTAGTGGTGCGTCTGGAAGGTGAGTGGACGGTGCCTGCCTCCCTCCCGGGCTTGTCAGGGAGGCCTCGAGCCATGTGTGTCTGGGCACGAGGCTCGTGGACGTCCTGCTCCCAAGTCATCCATGTGGTAGTGCAGTGGCACGTGGGGTCCAGGTCCCGGGACCCTGTACTTGTTAAATTCGAGGACCCTCGATAGCCTTCGTTGACTTTGGATTATACAAGTCAGTAATGACACATTAACGTAATCAATTAGTAAGTTAATTTGGTAACAAGTATTACTTGGAATTTTAAAATATAGTCATTCGGTTTTCAGTGATAAAATTCTATTGTATTTTATATTGATTTTACACATCTTATGAGTAGAATATATGTTATGTACAGTAGTGCCCCTCTGATCATGGGCAGTGCCGCAGTCTGGCTGGGCACAATCAGGAGCCACTTGTCAAAAGAAACTAACTTTATTTTTAGAACCACACACGCCAAACAAAACAGCCTCTCAGGAAAAACCCTCAGAGCCTCAACTGCCACCACCGGCTTCCCACAAGCCTCTCTCTCCCCACCAGCTTCTCTCCACCTCCCACAATCCTCCTGCTCTTGAGGCCGATTGGCTGGGTCACGTGGGCGGAGCCAAAAAAGTCCCCCAATGAGCAGCTCCGTGGTCTGAAAGGGCAGGGAAACAGCCCAATGAGCATCACCGCAGAGGAGCCAATCAGCTAGATGTTGCTGGGGCCGCTGTGAGCCAATCATCAGCCGGCAGCTGGAAGTTTGCTGGCAGCTGGAAGTTTGCTGGGGCCCCTTCGGCTGTGGCTGTCAACAGGCAGTACATCCCAAGCCCCCGAGGGGGTTCCCGAGACCACAGATACAAGCAAGCCCTGTGCATACTGTGTGTTCTCGCACATACATGCCTGCGATAAAGTTTAACTTTTAAGTGGGGCACAGTAGAGTGTAACAGTGAATTAACAAAACTCGGGTGAACGGGGTCCTGTCTGGAAAGAGTCAAGGCACATGCTGCTTTCAGCCTGGCCCAGTGGCTGGCCCTGCAGGTTCGTCTTAGGGAGGAGTGCCGTGCTTCAGGGGCTGCAGACTCCGTCTCCCGACACGGGCCTGGCCTGAAGCCTGCTGCGATGCACGGCTGGGGTTCAAGTCGGCCCTGGACCCACGGAGGCAGCCACTGGGAGTGGGAGCTTCTCATCATCTTCCCCGTTGTAGGGAGCCTTTCTTCGGTACGAGGCTAAAAGTCCAGAGAGTCTCTTTGCTAAAGGCAAGTTTTCACATGGAGTCCGAGCTCCCTTCAGTGAACTTCTTTGGCTCATATTGAATTTGGTCCGTCTGTGTTGCCTGGGACAGATCTTACCCTGGCAGGATTTGTCACGTGCTCCCGTACCGTGAAACCTGTTAGGGTTATCCAGGTCTCCCAGAGGCCATGCGATTCAGAACACAGCACCCTGAAACTGGTGGTCGTCACTGTCCGTGCCCCTCAGAACGTCTCCCTCAGGATGGGGAAGGTCAAGTTCGAGTGCACAGTGGCAGGTGCCAGTGTTTGAGGATTTGAGTTTCAGTTTAAAGTATGAATTCTATCTTCAGCCACAAATCAGTCAATAGCTCCCCTTGAGGTGACAGACTCACTTTGCTCATTTGTTGAGAAAATCCAGCCGAACGCCAAGTCCGAGCAGCGATGGCTCGTCCGTCTTCTTCCCAGGGCCGGTGCCCCCTGGGAACATGGGTCCCGGGCTCCGGCTCTGCGGTGCCCACACCCTCCTCCAGCAGCCACCAGCTCAGGAGCAGTAGGTGCAGGGAGCCTGAGTCCCCAGCAGCTGCGGGGTGGCGGCCGCCGAGCGGACTTGCCCTCCCTCTTCCCAGAGCTGCCACCGTTCTGGCCTGGACGCCAGGCAACATGGCAGCAGCTTTGCCCAGGGCTCTTCACCTGCGCTCTCTGCAGAGGCCAGCGCAGTACTATCAGCTCCCACCCACCCTCTGAGGACCCTCCTTTGGGAAGCACAGCAGCACAGAAGCAGAGGCAGACACCTTAGGATGGGCAGTGTCCTCAAGTCCCGCCCACCCCACGTGCTCAGCGAGCCCCACACACCCCAGTCATCAGCCAGTGCTGCCAGGAGCAGCTCCTCCCCAGGCTCCCTGCCCGGGTCTTCCAGAGACACCTGGGACCCTGCTGGCTCCCTGTCCCTGACAGGAGACCCAGGGCCCCGCCCCATAGCTTTCTGCTGTGCTCCAGGTGGGGTGCCTCCCCTGGAGGAGGAGGAGGCAGGAGTGACGGGGGCGGAGCTCAGCAGGGAGGGACGGCCCCAGCACATAGGGACATTCCGCCTAGCAGTGGGCTGTTAGGTCAGGGCTGCCCTCCTGACAGTCCTGGCCCCGATGCTGTTTCCCTGCCTGCAGCACAGGCTGTGCGTTTCAGTGAAGTGGGATTTGAGTGTGCTGGGCACCAGGACAGGCTCATCCCGGTGCCCCCTGAAGCGTCTCCGCCCTCTGCCCTCTAGGTGTCTTGTGAGGGTTGAGCTAGCAGAAGACTCCACAGCATCTCTGGAACCAGGAGGCGGGGCGCTCGTGTTGTGCCCACAGCAGTGTGCACCAGGACAGTTCCGATATGTGTGCCTCTCGGCAGAAAGAGCCGCTGACCGTTGTCCACTGCGAATGTCATGAGGAGAGGCAGGCATCTGGGCTGAGATGGGCCGTGGGGAGTTTTCTCCTCTGGAAACACAGCTGTCCACCATGTGGGGTAGGAGGCGAGTGGGCTGCAGGCTGGAAAGTCCTCTCCTCCTCTTCTGCAGGGCCCTCCAGCCACAGGCGTGGTCATGTGGCCCCAGTAGAGAGAGGTCTGCAGTCCTGTGGAGAGCCCACTGGACAGCCCACCCTGGGCCAGGTGGACAGCCCACTCACAGGCGTCCTGGGCCATGTGGACAGTCCACTCTCAGGTTCCCTGGGCCATATGTGGACGGTCCACTCTCAGGTTCCCTGGGCTATATGTGGACGGTCCACTCACCGGCATCCTGGGCCATGTGGAGAGTCCACTCTCAGGTGCCCTGGGCCATGTGGAGAGTCCACTCTCAGGTGCCCTGGGCCATGTGGAGAGTCCATCACAGGCGTCCTGGGCCATGTGGAGAGTCCACTCTCAGGTGCCCTGGGCCATGTGGAGAGTCCACTCTCAGGTGCCCTGGGCCATGTGGAGAGTCCATCACAGGCGTCCTGGGCCATGTGGAGAGTCCACTCTCAGGTGCCCTGGGCCATGTGGAGAGTCCACTCTCAGGTGCCCTGGGCCATGTGGAGAGTCCACTCACAGGTGCCCTGGGCCATGTGGAGAGTCCACTCACAGGTGCCCTGGGCCATGTGGACAGTCCACTCTCAGGTGCCCTGGGCCAGGTGGAGAGTCCACTCTCAGGTGCCCTGGGCCATGTGGAGAGTCCACTCGCAGGCGTCCTGGGCCATGTGGAGAGTCCACTCTCAGGTTCCCTGGGCCATGTGGACAGCCCACTCTCAGGTGCCCTGGGCCATGTGGACAGCCCACTCTCAGGTGCCCTGGGCCATGTGGAGAGTCCATCACAGGCGTCCTGGGCCATGTGGACAGTCCACTCTCAGGTTCCCTGGGCCAGGTGGAGAGTCCACTCTCAGGTTCCCTGGGCCATGTGGACAGTCCACTCTCAGGTTCCCTGGGCCAGGTGGAGAGTCCACTCTCAGGTTCCCTGGGCCATGTGGACAGTCCACTCTCAGGTTCCCTGGGCCAGGTGGAGAGTCCACTCTCAGGTGCCCTGGGCCATGTGGACAGTCCACTCTCAGGTTCCCTGGGCCATGTGGAGAGTCCACTCTCAGGTTCCCTGGGCCATGTGGAGAGTCCACTCTCAGGTTCCCTGGGCCATGTGGAGAGTCCACTCTCAGGTTCCCTGGGCCATGTGGAGAGTCCACTCTCAGGTGCCCTGGGCCATGTGGAGAGTCCATCACAGGCACCATGGGCCATGTGGACAGCCCACTCTCAGGTGCCCTGGGCCATGTGGACAGCCCACTCTCAGGTGCCCTGGGCCATGTGGAGAGTCCATCACAGGCGTCCTGGGCCATGTGGACAGTCCACTCTCAGGTTCCCTGGGCCAGGTGGAGAGTCCACTCTCAGGTTCCCTGGGCCATGTGGACAGTCCACTCTCAGGTTCCCTGGGCCAGGTGGAGAGTCCACTCTCAGGTTCCCTGGGCCATGTGGACAGTCCACTCTCAGGTTCCCTGGGCCAGGTGGAGAGTCCACTCTCAGGTGCCCTGGGCCATGTGGACAGTCCACTCTCAGGTTCCCTGGGCCATGTGGAGAGTCCACTCTCAGGTTCCCTGGGCCATGTGGAGAGTCCACTCTCAGGTTCCCTGGGCCATGTGGAGAGTCCACTCTCAGGTTCCCTGGGCCATGTGGAGAGTCCACTCTCAGGTGCCCTGGGCCATGTGGAGAGTCCATCACAGGCACCATGGGCCATGTGGAGAGTCCACTCGCAGGCGTCCTGGGCCATGTGGACAGCCCACTCTCAGGTGCCCTGGGCCAGGTGGAGAGTCCACTCTCAGGTGCCCTGGGCCATGTGGAGAGTCCACTCTCAGGTGCCCTGGGCCAGGTGGAGAGTCCACTCTCAGGTGCCCTGGGCCATGTGGACAGCCCACTCTCAGGTGCCCTGGGCCAGGTGGACAGCCCACTCTCAGGTGCCCTGGGCCAGGTGGAGAGTCCGCTCTCAGGTGCCCTGGGCCATGTGGAGAGTCCACTCTCAGGTGCCCTGGGCCAGGTGGAGAGTCCACTCTCAGGTGCCCTGGGCCATGAGAAGAGTCCACTCACAGGTGCCCTGGGCCAGGTGGACAGCCCACTCTCAGGTGCCCTGGGCCATGAGAAGAGTCCACTCTCAGGTGCCCTGGGCCAGGTGGAGAGTCCGCTTACAGGTGCCCTGGGCCAGGTGGAGAGTCCGCTCTCAGGTGCCCTGGGCCATGTGGAGAGTCCACTCTCAGGTGCCCTGGGCCATGTGGAGAGTCCACTCTCAGGTGCCCTGGGCCA